AATTGATACATCACACAGTTGAAATGGTAGTAGATTAAAGTGTCATAAAAAGGATAAGGCTTGTGGCAATAAGGAGAAAAAACATTATTGCCTTAGTGTGTAGTAATACATAAAGCTAGCAGCATAGAGAAAGTAGCTGCAGTACAGGAACATAAATCAGGTTTTAATAAGAAATGTGCACATATTAGGAGGTATGGAAATAGTAAATTTATTAGAAGAACACATAGACATAGTTTTAGGAGAAAGTGATTCTAATGGTAGCACAAACAAGGTGAAATATAAGATGATGTTAAGCAGTAGTACACTTGTAACATAGAGACCCTCTAGAGTGCAAGAGAAGCACAGGGTATAGTTAAAAGCATGTGTAAAAGACATGCTTTAGCAAGGATTTATAGAGGACTGTAGTTATTTTGCAGCACATATTTGTTCTCAAGAGGGACAGTAAATTAAGGTTCTGCTTCAACTTCAGAAAACTGAATCAGGTAACTGTCAAGAATGCATATCCATTATCAAATATATGAGATGTGAGACAGGTTAGGACAGAGTAAGTACTTTTTGTCCATGGACTTGCAAAGTAGCTATTGAGGAAGAAAAAAGGCAAAAATTACAATATATTATCATCAGGAAAATATCAGTTCAGTAGAATGCCATTTAACTTGTGCAATGCCCTTTCAGTATTCCAGAGATTGGTGGATGTACTACTATCAGGACTACAAGATTATGAATCATTTCTGTTACTTTGATGACATCATAGTTTTTGCTGCAAATTTCAAAGTAGACTTAGAAAGATTAAGGTATTTGATAGATTACAAAAGTCAAATTTGAAATTAAAGCCATATGTCAATTCCTAAGAAAGGAAGTAGATTATTTAGATAATGTGGTAACTGCTAAAGGTATAAAACCAGAACCAAAATTTTGGTTGTATATAAGAATCATGCAGTGTCAAAGATAATCGTGCAGTTTTTAGGATTCCATAGAAGATTTTTTTTCTACATTATGCAGTATTTGCAAGACCCTTATTAGAGTTAACAAGGAAAGATGTAGGTTTCCAGGGTATAGGTAAGAGAGCACTGATTTTGAGTTTCCCTGACTTCAACACAGTGTCAGATTGGTGCAACAAGTGGAACATAGCCCTCAATCCAACCAAATCCTAAGCTATAGCATTTTTCAGGAAAATAGATAAAAATATGAGAAAGCTTCATAATCTCCAGTTAACACTTAACTGTTCAGGCACTGATCAGGTTGAATAATTGGCACCTGATCAGTGAAAGTGGATTTTCTTTCGGTGCACCAATTCTCCCCCTCCCCACAACAAAATTACTTTCATTGGATCTATATATCCCCACCCTGAGAAGGACCACTCCCTTTCATATTCAAAATGCAAATTACATTTTTATATACTAATTCAGCCAAAGCTTTTAAATCTTTTGGCCATCAATTTTAATAAATTGAAACCCATTTTAATGTTGTTATCTTTGCTAGTTTTAGATGTATTCGTCCCCTGTCAAGAATTAATTAATCAATCACTTCAGACCCTAATTATTACTCTTATTTATACAACATATGTCAACTTTGAACTGCATATCCTTGGTACAGTCTTGGTTCCTTCAATCTTCACACCTGCTTCGTCTTCGTCAATGCCAACAGCCACCTTTTATATTCAAGCCTTCATATATATACTGAACAGTCTTCTTCAGTATCAGTATCAACCTCTCTTTCTTTCAATGAACTTCCTGTTCCCTGTCTCCAGCTCCCCACTGTCTCGGTTTATCCCCAACATCCCTTCTCCTTGTTTACCTTATTCACAAACCATGCTTGTGAATTAATCTCTCATGCTTCAACAACATTAAGATCCACATTATTTCATCAAAGCACTCAAAAACCTTAAAATGTAATTTATTTGCAACTTTGGTAGTTGTTCAACCAAAGTTTTATGAGTGGGGCAAAGAGAAATTATAGTTTTTGACCACCCTAGGTTACCTTTCAGGCCCCTTCTAGACCTGAAAGTTTTCAAACCAAAATATCTACCAAGGAATTTTGCTTTGTTTTCTATCTTGGACCCCCAGATTGCAATATCCTGACAGATTGGCAAGCAGCTTTGTTCATAGCTTCATCACTCACTAGCACGGGTCCTGTGGGATAGTGCAATCAAATGGGGGTGCCTTAGCTATGACAGCCTTGGCAAGGGCTATGAACCTCCTGGAACACATTATCTTGAACACATACACAATACATACACGTACATGTCCACACTGCTTGTTAGGCATGATAGGCTACACATGCTGTATACGTCATACACCAGTGCAGCTAGCACACACGTCTTTGAGCTAAACTTCCATTGCATGGGGATTTATATTGATGACATTTGTGGACTGTACATAACTGATGAGTTTTCATAAATTTGGGAAGGCTAATTCATGGTTTGTTATAAGTACTGCTCAGTTAAGAAACTCTTTGATCAATTTATGTGGAGTCAAACTTTTAATGGCTCTTTTGATTTTAAGGGGCCATGCAGGCTACCCAGGAGACACTTTTTATGGGCCTGCCGGCATTTGGGGGGCATTGACTCCCAGGCTCTTGTAATTTCGAGCCCTGGATACCAGCATGTTATCACCAGAATGTGAGAGTTGTTTATTCACCAGCAGCTGGGCTTAAGCTTAGAAAACATGGGTGCCTGGGCAGGACAGTCTGCATAAGGTGTAGCCACTGCAGCTGCAGGCTTCTTCATCTCTAGCAACTAGTTTAAAGTTACCACTTCATACTACACTGCTAATGAAATTTCCTCAGTAATGGTGAAAAGATCTCTCAGGAGGAGCCTCATCATTTCACTTGGTAGCCCTTCCAAAAATTTGTCAATAAGGAAATCTGCATGATCAGCTGAAGTCAATGCAGAAGAACCCTTACCACAAAAACAGTACTTATCATCCATGCATATGGCCAAGTTCTGGTGTTCCCCTTTTTTGAGCCTTAATTTTCAACTGGGTAGAACTGTAGGTGTAATTTGACAATGTCAGTTTTGCAGTCCCAGACTTGTGCTTTCCTCAAGTGCTCAGTTGAGTGTAGAGTTAGAACATCTTGATTCAAGACCAGGTGTTGTATTGCTTGCTTTAGAGACCAGCCCATTCCAAGCAGTTACTGGCCTGAAATACTTCAAGAAACAGTCTAAGTCTTCCTTTGCTGCACCCTTGAATGTCAGGAGGGTGGGAGTAATCTGTTTTGCCTCACTCACAGAGATCTGTGGTTATGGCCAGAATCTCTCTCTCTCATGATTTTATGGTCATCATCTAATAAAGATGTCCATGACGAAGCATAATAGGCATTCTCAGGGATTTAGACTTTTATGGAAGAGTTGATTCCAGGTCCAGGACAGTAAAGCATGAACAAAAGTTGTCTTGGCAGTACAATTCTTTGCACAAAGGCTCACCACTGCTCCATGCTTCACTTACTTCATGTTTGATGCTTGCCATTTTATCTACTTGTGAGATAGCTTCTGTTGGTAGACATTGTCCACTAATGGTACCTCCACAGTCTCACCTTGGTATTCTCAGACAACTTTGACCAAAGTTAGGGTTGGGTAACGGGTTAGTGACACTTTGGGAGTCCTATACAGACCACCCTATTTGGTCTCAGACTTTTCAGATGCCACACCACTGTGACACTCCTCAGATGAAGGATGATCATCAGGGGAAGAGTGTGAACAGTCATTCTGAGTACACCAGACATCTGTGGTTCTTCTTCTAGTTAGTCATCAGCTGAAACAAAATAGAAGTCATGAACCTTTGCAGCATCAACAAAAGTACAACCATTTTCCTTCAGCAATCAACTCGTCCAGTTTGTTGTAGGTCCTTCAAATTGTAGAAAACGTTATTTTGGTTAACAAGAACCCTTTCTAAACTTAACACAAGAGTAAGAATAAAAGAAAACTTCACTAAAATACTTTCCTTCCCATATTTTCTGTGATGTATTCAAGACAAACTGATTTCCCTTAGAGTGATGGAATAGGTCTGTAGAATAAGAGAAGGTTCAATAAGATATTAATTATGAATTAATATTATGTTTCTCTGAATACCTGAGTTTGTGAAAATGCAATAAAAACTGGATACAATGTAAGATACAAAATCACAATCCTGCACAAAATGTGTACTCGCTTTGGATGATGGGCTGTCACTTGTACTGGATTGAAACTATTCTCCCCAAGATCATCAACTAAACTATTTAAATTCAATGTTTCTTACTTCACAGCTAATGTCAGATTTACCTAGTGTGACTAGCACTACCCATGTGACTGGTTATTCTCATTAAAGTATAGGAAAGACCGTAACCTCAAGAAACCACTTGATCTATCATCGAAGAACACTGCTGTCTACATTAATGCATAAAGTGCACCACTACATCCATTCTACCCATGGGCAGAACAGGCATTCTCTGAATAGAATGACAAGGAACTAAGGCAGCTGCAACAAAATCAACTTAACTTTCTTGACCATGTTATCTGCCCATACTCAGAAATAACTGATAAATTTAGAATAATACAATATTAATATAGTAAAGTACAAAATGTATGGTATGCTTATATTTCACAAAGATATGACTATAATAAAATATTGCCACACTGTTCTAACTATACCTATGATTATGTTCAATTGCTTTGAATAAACCCGTGGTTAAGGGTAAGGATAAGCTGTTTCCTTATTTGTACAATACTCTGCATTAAAATCAAAATGCAAGAAGGCATTCTTCATATTTGTGTTGTACATAGAAACAAAGTAAATTGTTTTTGTAATCTTTTCGCTCTAGTTATCACTTCACTTGAAATGTTTTTAGTTTTTCCTCTACAAATTAAAATTAATACTACAATAACATTACCCATTCCACAACAATAATTTTAGAAACAGTTAATAGTGTAGCAAAAAACAGTAAAAAAGCAACTAATTAATATAAAACCAGAAAAAGCAGCTTTACCATTTTTAACCTTAAAAATCAGGAAAAAAAAGTATTACCTGTCTGATGCCATGGTAAACACAGAGCCAAAAAAGGAGAAGTGCACATAGAAATGATGCTTGAAACATTGCATCTAACATACCAGGAACCCAGCTGTTGATGAGAAAGGATAGAGGAAAAACAGGGTCTGGAGAATTAAGAGGAAAATTAATTTGTTATAGTTTTTAACCATTTTACTTATTATTTTTGTTAAATATTTCTACAATTTTAGTTATATATACATTTATACTTTATCTAAATTGTATATTTATAAGAACATAATTAAGTTATGACTTCCTATAATTCCACTTAAAATCAGATTTGAAATTAATTACATTGAAATGTCATCTCAGTTTATCAATCAGCAGACTCTCTTATACAAATCTGCATTCATCACTAGACTTGCATTAAAATCATTAGCTTATTTTTAATGTAAAACTACCCCACATTGTCTTGTTTCACCATACTTGACTCTATTAAAAAATAGAGTGAGACAAATAGAATTTATTAATTTTTGTTTTAATACTTTAGAAAATTTTTACTGAATCATTTCTTTTTTAATGCTTTCATGTTACCATATACACTTTGACAAGTCTGAAGCTACTTGTTAGTAGAATTGACATAATACTGTAATTAACAATATTATGTGCTACTATTAAAAGGATATGTAATGTAATTGAATAGGAAATCAACATGCAATATAGATTCAGGTCTTAGTTTTATTCAAGTGTGATATACAAGCATACCATGCTTTCTACTTTATTGTTCTGATGCATAATTTTTCAAAATTTGTCAGTTATTTTAGGTATGTTGTGCAGTTTGCACATGCTGTGGTTAAGAAAATCATTAAATTGCCTTCACTCTTGCTACCTTTGTCATTCCCTAGATATAACATTTGGTCTGCCTGTGTGGGAAATGGTTGTAGAGTTTCACTTTGTGTGTGGTAGTAAACAGCAATGGCAGTTTAGGTGATGTCTTGAGACTACGAACTCCCTTATGTTTGAATGGAAATGGCTGATCAACTAGGTACTGTTAGTCATTCTTGGTAAGTCTGAAGTTACCATTAACAAAATAATGTGAAATTTAATCAGTTTGGAATACAATCTCAACAAATGCATTTGGAGAAAAAGTTACTTAGGTCCAGTAAAAGTGACTGTCTGTTGTATCATGCAAGTACACAGAATGTGTTTGAGTATGTGAATAATAAAGTGTGTTCACTGTATTTTTGAACTATTGTTGGTTATCTCTTTACTTCCTTCTGACAAATTCATTTACTCAGAGAACTGAGAATTACTTTACAACAGAATGCTTATTTGAATCTCTTGTTTTTTCTGTGGACCTATATTTCTTACCCTAAGGAAATCAGAATGTACAGCCACAATTCCTGTTTGGAGACATCTCATTTTGGTAGTGTAAGGGTGTTTATTCTATATAATATATATATATATATAGATATACACACACACATACATCAATAAATAAAACTACACACATGCATCAATATGTCAAAAAAAATTATTTTTCAAAAGCTCTCTACAAAACTGTATTGATTTAAATAAAGACTCAAATGAATATTTAGTGCTAATATGTGTATGTGATATTAAACATGTTATGCTCTTTCGGCTAAGGCATTCTACAATCTGAATTGGTCTACTCATTATTAGCTTGCACATTTAAACTTGCCAGTGTAAAAAAAAAGGAAAACACGCAGTATAATAACCTCACTACCTCAAAAAACAATTACTGGCACAAAATTTTAGCAACGATATCCTTCTTTAGATGAATTCTATTTCGTCACTCTTGTGCATCTAAAAGAAGGGTGTCCCTCCCAAAACTTCATGAATAATAAATGTTTTTAAGTGGTAAAAACATCATATCATGTCATTTATTGCATATCATTTTCTACCACAATGCTTTTTAAAATTTTACGCTTATGTTTCTTTGTCAGGATAGGCAAATTAAAAAGCATGTTGACATTTTAAATACTTGTGCTTAAAGTCACTAAAGGCAGTAAGTATACCATACACACATCTGATAGTGTGATAGGCTTAGATTATTCGTTCAATAATGTTTTTCTATGAACATTAAAACAAATTCCTCACGTAATATACTATTTTTGTTTCTAAGTCAATTCAGCAACCCAATCACACTAGCAGATATTCAGGAAACATGATGTGGCAAAAAGCACAAATTAATGCAGGCATGAAAATGTTTTGCTGATTACTGGAAATTCATCTTTCTATAATCATTCCCACGGTGCTCTTGTTATTTGTGAAAAATTGAGGAGAAAGATAGGTATGGATGTGTCATAATGTAGATCATTAACTTTTGATAATTATTAGAAACTAGAATTATATATATTTTTAAAGCATTAATATTTCTTCTAATTTGTTGAAAATGCAGGAGATACAGGAGTCTTCACATCAACCTCTAGCTTTTCAGCCTCTTTTTTCCCTTGTCCATTCTTATGCCTACAAGACTCAAACACACATGCTTAAGAAAATATGCATCATTTCCTACTTTTTTGATAATTTGATTTTGCATTTAAGTACTTGTTTCCAAATTAAATATAAAAACAATGAGGCTTAATATAACAAATAAAACCTATTATAAGTTTTAAGATTCAAAACTGTCGAGAGGGTTTATTAAGTATTGAAAAGGTTAAGTTTATTTGAAAATTTTATGACTTCAGATTTGCTTGAGGAAAGAACCTTGGATCCACTGTCTGGCATAGGAAAGTGCCAATATATACAATACACATGCATATAATTTTAGAACAACAAGGGACCACTTTGTCCATCTATTCCATTTCATCTAATATGCTATAAAACAAATCCCTTAAAGCCAGCCCTTATCATTCAAATATTTATCAGACCTTCCCTTAAACTCTTTTAAATGAACTGCATCGACCATACCTGAAGCCAATTCATTCCAAAGGCCAACCACTCTGTTAGAAAAAGAAAACTGTTTTAACTGAAGGTGACTCCCAACCTGCCAAAATTTGTGTCCCCTAATCCTACCGTTTTCAACATTAAGTAAAAAAAAAAAAAGAATGATGCATCAACATTATCAATTCCCTTAACAAATTTAAACACCTTAATCAGATCCCCTCTAACCTATCCTAGTACGACAACCTTTCCATCCCAGATATCATCCTCATATCCCTGCCCTGAACCCTTTTTAACAATTCAATGTCCTTTCTAAGGTAAGAAGCCCAAGACTGAACACAGTACTCCAAGTGTGGCCTAACCAATGACTTACACAGTTAGATGTACTGAAACATTACTTACTATAAGCATCAGTATAAGAGATTCCGCTATCAAAAGACTTTTGGTCACAACTTAATCAAACTGCTCTGCCATGATTTGCTTATTAATACTGTAATTCAAAATTTCTATGTGTATAATTTGACTAGAGTTTTCCGTGTGTATTTAATTAGTATATACCTCTATCAAATAACCATGTATTAATAGTAAGTTCTGCATATACATTTTCTTACCATTGTACAGTAACAATAAAGGCAGCAAGACAGACATCCACTTTTGCTCTATTGACCAGTCATAAAATACAAAATGACGTAGTGAATGAGCAAACCAGCACTGGAAAAAACATATTTTAAAAACATTACTTACAACATATGATGTGCAAAAAAGAATTTTAGTATAAAATGAATCCATAAAAATACAAAGATTGATGTATTTAGAAAAAAATTACCATTACTTTCCAGATAAATACAAAATAATATATTTTTATTTCAACCAACGTTTGGCCTTTGTGGCTTCATCAGGGTTAATATACACAACAGTGATATTAGAATATTTTAATATCAAACACTTATGTATATTAACCCTGATGAAGCCACAAAGGCCAAACGTTGGTTGAAATAAAAACATACTTTTATATTTATCTGGAGTGTAATAGTCATTTTTTCTAAACTTTTATCAAAATGTGTAAATCCTCCAGTATGAACTACAAATTTTGAAAGACAACACAAAATTGATGTAGTAAATATTTATTATCTGTTCTATTTCAGTATTTATGAAGTGAATGTCAATTTTAACCAAATTAACGTACTTACTAAGAGTAAAATATTTCAACATAAACTGTAAGTTCATTTACTAAGTATTGAAGGTTTTTTTGGTATGACCTATCAGAGTATTAATTGTTTTACTGTTACATAAATTTGTTGTAAGTTTATTTTGAAGAATTTCATTTATTTAACATATTAAGACTTTCACATCTGAATTTCTTCTTATTGATTTTTACTTGTCTGTCATAGAAGAATTTTGTATTGACAAGAAAATATCCCAGGTAGAGAACAAAATTAATCTATATTGCACCCTTCACAATCAGATCAAACTTCAAGCAAGGAATTTTCTTACTCATTATCAAAGAATTTTAAATTACAAAAAAGGTTTAGACAGTGTAATGATTATAGAAGATCAGAATTACATTTATAAAAATGAACTCAGAATTTAGTAGATTTTACTACAAAAAAACTCATAAACATTTATGGTTTTAACAGTTTTGATGTGACAAAATGTCTCAAATAAGCTATGATGTTAATAAATGTTTGTCAGCTGAAATATTTGGAGGCATTCTAATGTATAAATCAAAATCTGTAAAAATCAATTGACACAGGATGTTATGACAAATGCAGCACACACACACACTAAAGAAAAACAACATTTTCGCTGAAGTTGATTTATATATATGTATGTATATTCAGTAAACAGTTAACACTTCTGAATTACATCATCAATGATGTATTCTGTAATATATGTGATAACAGTTCAGGAGATTTGTTTAATCACATCAATGCTATTCATCAAGGTATTCAATTTACTAAAGAAAGTGAATTAAATCAACAATTATCCTTTTCTACATATTCTTGTTTATTGGCATGATGCTAGTTATGTAACTCAGTTCTACTGAATATCATTCATAACAATTTCTTTCTTCAGCTTATGCCCACACTAAAATATTAGCTGTTATTAAAACAATTTAAAACAGTGTTGCTTCTATTTGTAAAAGTAATAATTCCCAAAATAATTATAATAATTACATTAAATCCTGCTTCATATTATATAACCAATTCCCCAAACTTTTAGTCACTAAAGTAATTAATGAATTTCTATCCAATCATTTACAAATTAACTCTCATTGAAACCCAAATAAACTGGTTTGTTTTATTCCTTATATGCTTTAAATCTCCAATACTATTAAAAATGGTTTAGAATAGCCAAACAACATAAATTTTTTAAAGCTGTACATTTTACATTTAAATCAAGTCAAAATTATTTTCTATTCTCTTCAATAAATATTCAAAATATATTTTTCCTGGTTCTATTTACAAGATTGACTGTAAGGACTATAGATTTTTATGTGCAAGAATCTACCAAGGAAATAAATTTATGACATTTTTACCCACTTCCCATATTTTTGATCACATGAAATCCAATAATCATAATTTAAACATTTTAATTGTAAAAAAATAATCAAAACAACAAAAAAGTAAAAAAAAAACTGTGTTAATCAAACAGCTACACCCACCTATTAACAAGCAATTAAGTTGCCTAAATTATTTGGTCTGATGTCATAATTTGTAGCTATCTATATCACAGTAGTTCTCTGTTAACTGTAGTCTGATTATATTCAACTGAACTTCAGAAGAAATGTCAACATCCCTTTAGTGTGTGTTCTATTTATCAAACTGCCTTACTGACTTTAGTGTTTACTAGTTACTCGTCAGATACTTTTTTCATTTAGGAGGTTGAATTCCTAGACCAGTTGGGATAAAAAAATTCAAATCAGAAATATTGTGCACTATTTTTTTGTATTTCAAATAATAACAAAAATACCTTTAAACCTTCAAGATTTCATTTACACATCTATTTAAAAAATTAAAGAATTATTTGTTTGCTGTTTTTCTAAATTTCAATATTATATTAGGTTTGTATTGTAAAGATATGTCCTAAAAAAAAGTAAAACTTGCAAGTCAAAACATTCAATTATGAACCATTATTCTTTTATTTTAGTAAACTATATTATATTCAGTGACTTACTGTGATAAAGAATGTCAACAATAGGAATACAAAACGAAACCAAATTTCTACTTGTGTAAAAGCTGGATTGTAGCTTTTAAACTGAAAAAACAAACAAGTAGGTTATAACAACAGGTAAATAACTATTATAAATCAGCAATAAAACATCACCAGCAATTGTTATTATACTAAAATGTATAGCATTTCATTTAGAGGCTTTTACAGCAATCATTTTACATACTTAGCTTATATAATGATTATGCAGTTAAATTGAATATGCAAAATATTTATAGTTAACTTTATATCTCTAAAATAACAAAATTCACTAAAGAGTAATACGTTAACAGAAATGTATCACCATTGAATTATAATGTCAATATCACCACTAAATGTGTTAATACTAACTTTCAATGATCATGTTATCATCATTGAAAAATTAAAATTACACAATTAAAGGATAACAATAATTTTAAGATTTTTCTTAATTGAAAATATATTTCAGATAACTAATCACCTTTTAACAAAACAAAGAGCTAATACCTCACACCAATGCCAAAAAGTTTTTGTGCATGCACCAGCCAAGCCTTTGAATATAAATCCCACTCTTACACACAATCATGTGTACTGCACTAGTCTATGATGCACTCAGTATTAGACAACAGACCTCCACACACTGTATTCCCCTTGAGCATTTTGTGTATACAAAAAGCTCATTCTTGACAAGGTAAAAGAAGGAAGGGTGAGTAGTTCTGTGGAGATTATGTATATGAAGTACATTTTCAGGTAAGGAAATTTTACTTCTATACAGTGTGGGCTGTTACCCACCTCAGTGTGGGATGAAAAAGTGTAGATAAATAAATGAAGATTATGAGATTCTTTCTGAGAAATAGTGAAAAAAAAAAGGAAAATTCAAGGAATGTGGGACCTTGTAGAAGCATCACTCAGGGGTAGACCACATCCATCTCAAGCAGGTGATACTCTATACCCAATATAAATATTGGTGTAGAAAGATTATTTGAAAAGAACCTTCTACAATGGTGCAAAAGAGTCGCAAAGGTGGGTGGAATGTAAAGGCTGCAAAACTTGCCTGTATATCTTAGGGGTCAGCAGACTATGTACATGTATTGTAGCTAGGGAAAAAGGTTAAGTCATACAGTATATGTGAAATACTTACGTGATTTATATACCAGAATAAGCAGGTGATGTGATAAATTATCCCATACCTCTGTTTTGAGGAGAGTGCAAGACTCATCCAGCTACTCACAACCACTGAGATGGAAAAAAATTGCAATGTTGTGTAAGTAATGTAACACTAAGGTGTTGGGAGTTGTCTACATCCCTGCATGCAATATATTAACACTAATAACAAGAATCAAAAGAAACCATGAGATGATGAAAGTGAGGGGAGGTGATATGAATAAGACAAAATGGAATCATCTTCCAAAGAGGAATAGACAAACAGAATGAATTGTTTAACCCAATCAGTCAAAGTACAAGGAGTTAAATAACAAAAATAAGTACAGAGTGCTGGAGGCAACAAATGAACAATTATCAGAGTGAAATATCCCACAAGTGAGAAGAAAATATGCTTTAAGAGAGAGAGGAGGTACAGGTGGCCAAACGTTTGGAAAAATGTCATGTAAGTCTTGAGAATTAAATACAGGTTCCAGCCTATAAGAGGAGCTAGATGAGGAGAACAGCTTATTAGAAAGGCTTGAAAGAGGTCTTTAAGAACTGAAGAAAGGAACAAATAATAGCCTGGGAAAAAACAGAAGATCACTGGCAAAGTCATTCTGTATCCTGTGATCACAAAAATGGATAGACCACCATTGAAAAGCCAGGTAAAAATGGAGCAAGGTGAGGAAAAGTTGGATGACCTGGAAAAAGAAAAGTGGAAAATAAACCAGCAATGATAAGCCATCACTTGTAGTGATAAATTGCTAGAATAAATGGATAATACAGTAAGAAAGAAAAAGGGCTAGTCTGAAAGAAAAACCTGTCAGTCTTTCAAGGAATTGGGAAAAAACCACATATGAAGATTATGGCATGGAACACTGTGGTGAAAGATGGACATTTGAAGCTGATGTAAAAAAGAACCTCGAAGGTGGAAGAGATAAATGATCCAGGATCGCTGAAAGATGAAGGAGTAAAAACCATGATTGAGTTGGCCTAAGAAAGGTAGTGAGAAGAACCTGGAAAGCAGTGTTGAATTAAAGACAATACCTTGGGAAAAAGTAGAAGAGGAAGGTAGCCAAGCATACAGAAAGAGCTTCAGAAGAAATCCTGCCAAGGACATGGAGTCTGAGACTGATGACTAAAACAGTGGAAGCTTGTTGTAGAAATTAGTCACAAGTGTGCTGATATGATGACTTCCAAAGTGGAAAACAATCTGTAAACACCAACAGACATAAGAACTACTCTGTCAGAAGGATTCAGTCTGGTGAGAAAGTTGTTCCATCACAAAATTCAAAGCTCCTAGAATATTTTCAAAGCTCAAAAACAGAGAAGCTTGAAAACAAGAAAGCAGAGGTCCCATGAGTGAGTGTCTCATTGTTGGTTGGTGTATGAAAAGACAGTGGAATTGTCAAAATAGTTCAAAACAGGATGTCCAAACAGCTGTAACAAAGGATGGTGGCAGGCCCATTGATCTGTCCACATCTCAAAAACACTGATGTGGAAAAAACACTGGAGAAGACCAAACACAAAAAAATGGTAAAGATATCCAGAACTGCACCCCATCCAATTAAAGAAACATCCATGAACAAGTGTATCTCTGTACAAGGTACAGTAAGATAAACGCTCAGAGTTGAGTGGAAATGTTTGAGCCACCACAACAATGAGAGGTGTAGAGGTGGAGGTTGAGAAGTGATAGAAGACAGTGGATCATGGGACATATATCACTGATCTGTCAGAATTCACTGAAGGGAACATTAAAGAATATGTTGAGAGTAAGAAGGGAAAAATAGAGAAGTGAGAGACCCTAAAAGAGATAGAACCTTGTATGTATGATGAAATGAAAACATAAGAGCCTTGAAAACCTGAAACTCCATATCCCAGAAGTGTAAAAGAGAAGGTTAAACCCACCCAACAAATAAGGTGTGAAATAATGAAATAACCTCAAATGAATTAGAATTTTATTAGATAACAGTGGTTCCATTAAGAACTGACACCTAGCAATTTGCCTATCATGAGAAAAATTGCTGGCTATCAATGATCTTTTTTTCACCATCATCATCATCATTATTCACAAATTTTTTTTCCAATGCAAAGTTTTGGGAAACATTCTGGCTAGAACCTTGTGTGGTACCCTGGTGTTTCCGTAATTTATGATATATGTTTGCAGTCCGAAAGGTAAGGCAAATTATATTCAATACAGCTAAAATAAATACAGATACCAATGTTTAGTAATACTTTAGTTGAAATAACTGTTTTCATGAAATTATTAATTATTTCAGATGATAGATGTGTCCTAAATGATTCAGGCAGTTCAATGGACATTGTGCCAAAAACTTCAATACCTACAAAAGAGCATGAAGCAGCTTCTAGCCACACTTTCCATTATCAGCCTGTTCCATGTGATGAAATGAAAAAGACAGCTGATTCTTTACTTCCATCATTAATAGTTCTCTACACACTTATTACAACTGTTCAACATTTGACAGTTTTGCCATAAATTGAAAACTGATGTTGGAGGAAATGGAAAAGATAAGTTCAATTATAGCTGGTTAATGGACAAAAGTTTGTTATAATGGCTGGAGACGGCTACGAATGGGTAATGAAGAAAACTTAATAATAAGTTTTATTTCTATTACCTACTACGTACGACGTCGTCCACACCACTTATTAAGTTACTTCTAAATAGGGTTACCG